TAGTTTCTGGTAGGCACATACTCTGCTATGGATTATAAAAGTTAAAATTGATAATGATAAATAAAGTTTTAATATATAAGTGGTTACAAGTAAATCCTATATTAAATACAAAACTTTGTATTTGTAATTTCTCAGGCAAGACTCTAAAAAAACTTAAAGCCAACTTGCAAAGTAACCCTTAGAGGGAAATATAATGTAAGCATACCCATACCAAGAAAATGACATGCGCTTCCAAATTCGATGCTGACCCAAGCTGAGGAAATCATTCAGCTTCCAACAAAGCAAAAAGAAACGGCGTAATAAGTGACCAAAAAACGGGAATGAGGGAATAGGAGCGCACGTTATCAGATAGGAGCAATGCGGGCTAAAGAGCGCTTGGCGGACAGTGGAAGAGGGGAGAGTGTTTGGTGTAACTGTAACTGTAAAGTTACCATCTCTTCTGCTACATTATCCACGTCGGATTCGAATTACATATATAAATAGGTAAATCATGTTCAACAACTTTATCATACAAATATGGGTTTAGACCTTAGGTGCTATGGTGAATTCATTAAATTTGGGATAGGATTTCATTTCTAGAAGGAAAAAAATTAGTATTTTTACCCTAATAATGACCTAATTCATTTTAGAATGTGTGGATGTCATTGTCCACAAATATTGCTTCCAAGAATTAGATTCTTAACTCATGGTCTTTATGTGATATATTGAGGTCTTACACTATTAACATAGTATTGGTTTTCATTTATGGAATATGAAGTAAATATGACTTTGATAATTTATAAAATAGTAAATTACCCTGATACTCTCTGAGTTTTAGTGAAATTATATAAGCTATCCTTTCATTTTTTACACCTACAAAAAATATCATAATTTAAAAACATACATTACACTTATCACCACAGAAACAAGTGTAAATTTTTAAACAAAAAAGAATAATAAATGTTAGTAAGTTAAACAAAATATGTTATATTGTATAAATAAATACAAATAGTATACAAACCAAAAATAATGAATATAAATAATGTATTCTCCTTAGAATTTTTTGTAATATCTTCACAATATATCATATTTTATTTAATCTAATTACATTTATCATCATTATCTTCCTTTACCTGTAATTACGTCACACAACAATCTTGACATTAAAATGGAACACATATAAAAATGGTAGAAAACTAAATTGATTGTTTATTTAATTCCTCAAATATTAGCTAATTCATTTTTACTTGATTATCATGATCCATTTATTTATAAAATATTTCCTTTATTTTTGTTAGATGATATTTGGATTGATAGAGCATTATCTCATTTAATATTTAACTAGTTTCATTTTATCTATAGTTTATGCTAATATTGTTATTTATTATTTGGGTCGTTATAATCTTATCATTTGTAATAATGTTTTGTCTATATAATAAATTGTTTAGATTGACTCATATTTGAGTTTGATAAGTCTTTTTTATCTTAAAATTATACATGGTATTATTCTCGGTTAATATTCCATTACCGAGATGTTGAAAATTAAGAACTTTGATTAATCATATTCATTTTTTGTGTCAGCTTCTTATTAATATTCATTTTTTTCACATCTCGGATCATTTCAGTAATATACTCTCTTTTATTAACGAGTTATGTTTGTAATTCCCTTTACAATTGACAAGTATTCTACTGGTGATTATACCACTTGTTTTATTGTGACGTTGCATTATTGACAAGTTAGGTTAGTAATGAATTTTTTTTTTTTATGGCCAATCATTCTTATTCTTACCGTGATTATTCAACCTTCCTTCCTGAATTCTAGCCTAATAACATGTGACTCAAACACAGATTATTCAGCATTCCTTAATTCAACCAAAACTAGTAAATCATCAAAAACATGCTCAAGTTGTCTGAGCACACAGTCCAAGTTACAATTGCAACTCCTTTTCAGATCAAGAACACATATTAAAATGATCGGAATGGAGAGCCTATTTAACAACTGATACATAAAAACCAATCCACTACGTTAACAAACTTATAAAGATGTATTAGAAATCATATAGTAAGAAGAGAACGTGGAAAAGATCTTCTTTGGTATGAGCCATGATTGATAAAGATCTTCTTGATGAACAAGAAAGATGAGAAAGAAAACAAAGAAGAAAAATTAACTCATTCTCATTGATTGAAAATGTAAAGCCAATATGACTTATTTATACAAAATGAAATGGTTCCTGATCCAAGCAAAAGTAGATGATGCAAAGTTAACAAAGTATCTTGAACTCCTAACTACCTAACCACCTAATCATCTTCTACAAAAAAACTCTAAAATATCTTTAATAGCCCCTTCAAGCTGGTGAGTGAAAGTTTTTCTTAACTCCTAGCTTGTAATCTTGATTTGAAGCAATAACAACGCTTAATCACTCATGACAGAAGCTATATCATTAAACACTTAACCATCTATGACAGAAACTATATCTAAGCTTCATTGATGTAAAATACACACAATAATGATGTTGTGTGTAAGAGAGGTAAAAAGTATATTACGAATGAAATAGAAGTAATTGATAGCAGACAAGAAAAGAAGCATTGATAGTCCTCTTTCTTTGGAGATATAAATCTTTGATGAATCTTTGATAAATCTTAGAAGAACATTCTTCAAAGTGCCAACAACCTCATCATATCTTCTCAATGCAATCATCATATTCCCCACATTGATCTATGCACATAACAAACCAAAAGTTGATATTCCAATTCTTCAAAGTCTTGTTGATTCCATGAAAAACTGCCACTAGAAAACCAGCCAACATATATTGCAGCTTTGGCATAACAGACTCTATAAAACATGTGAAAGAGAGAGTGACACAAAATGAAAATCTTGATCAATTTCTTGAATTTGGCTTGCCGAGAATTGTTGAAGTTGTTGCTATTGATGGTGGAATGAAGAGGATGAAAAATGGAGGAATAGAAGCATAAGCAGAAGCTATGATAGAAGCATAAGCGGAAGCGATCAAAACAATAATTATTGCTATGATACCATATTAGAAATCATAGAGCAAGAAGAGAATGTGGAAAAGATCTTCTTTGATATGAGCCATGATTGATAAAGATCTTCTTAATGAACAAGAAAGATCAGAAAGAAAACAAAGAAGAAAAATTAACCTATTCCCATTGATTGAAAATGTAAAGCCAATATGACTTATTTATACAAAATGAAATGGTTTCTGATCCAGGCAAAAGTAGATGATGCAAAGTTAACAAAGTATCTTCAATTCCTAACTACCTAACCACCTAATCATCTTCTACAAAAAAAACTCTAAAATATCTTTAATAAGATATTTGGAAATTCATCAAAGCAATTCCATTCACTCAGTAGTGACCTTATCCCTCTCTAACACTATTTTTGAAAAGTGATAAAGTTAATTACTGTAATCATCATGAAACTTTCTAATGACAAAAAGTTATGAACCCACAATAAGATACATATTTTCTATAGATACAAAAAATAACCTGTAGTTTTAGCAGATTCAACAATGGAAATTGATACTAATAAGAAGGATATCTACCACTTATTTTCCCACGTTCCATCATAAACTTCATTAAAATTATAATTTAGGGCCAAAATTTAAAAGGGAAGAAAAATAATAATTATTATTTGTTTGTTCGATGTAAAGAACATTTTCACTTAAAGTTGTTTATGTCCTCAGATTTCACCAAGTGAGAGTCTAGCTGCCTTGAGTGGATAGTCTAGCTGCTATGATTGTATGCATATATGAGAAGGAAATCACTGCCATTTTATGTAAAAGGGAAGTTTGGGTTATCCTTATAGCCGGCTAGAGAAGGAGAAGTGACTCTTCAGTGTAAGTTCAAGCTATTGATGACTAAATGAATGCAACTTTTTCTGACTATATCAAACCTAGATTTTCACCTCTTGGTGACGATGAAAGCACTCTTTAAAAAGCTGAAAATGGCCCCTAGAAATACGAAAGGAGAGCTATACAGCAAGGTTAAACAACTTTGGCTATGTACTAGGGCAAGGTTTGTAGATTTTCAGCTCTCAAATTGGGATTACTGTATACTGGCACAGAAAACTTTTACTTACAGTTTTGGGGACAACTAACGTGATATTATACTAGACGGGATGATTTTTATTTACACTTTTAAATGATGCCGTGAGTAAGGGTGAAACTAATGCTTCGGTTCAGCTCAAATTTTACTACCAGAACCAATCGTTTTGAATGGTTTGGTTCCATCGTTTTCCTTATATATCTTTTCAAAATATATTATGATAGATATTATTTATTTATAAAATGAAAAACACTATTATTATTATTTTCAAAATAAAAATTTGAAACTTATAATTATTTATTTAATAAAAAATGAATAACTATATATATATATATATATATATATATATATATATATATATATATTATTATTTTATGTATTGCTATATGTTATTAATATATATTATAAAACACTATTATTATTATTTTCAAATTTTATGTATTGCTATATGTTATTAATATATATATATATATATATATATATATATATATATATATATATATATATCAATTAATAAAATATACAATATTAACATATATAATATTACTATTAGTAATCTTATATATGCTATAATTTTCACCGATTTTGTGGTTTAAATTAGAACAGTTTATAATTCTATATTTATAATTCTATCTTAAAGTATAAAACTACTATGTAAAGATTCAATTTTGTAGGATTTAATTTCCTTTACATTTTAGTAATCCCATGATATATTGATTATATTGAATGCTACTGCTTTAATTCACTATAGTTTTCTATTGATCAAATATAGTCAATTTAAAATGTTTGTTCTCTAAAAAGTAAAGGAAATTGGATAATGAATAGATGAGACCACTTCTTAAATCATCAACTATTTAAAGCAATGGCGAGAGACTAACTTCTCCACCACCTTTCTGCATAGCCCTTTGGAAATCTTCCAAAACCAATCTCTCAAGTCTTGATCATTTGGTAAAAGCATGGAACACTTTTGGCAAAAATCCATCCATGGTTCTTGAAGAAGCATGGACTAACAGTGTGAGAGGGTCCTCATCCCTCACACTCCACCACTTCAAACAGTTTGTTTAGGCATAGCTATTGGCTTCTCTAATCACCAAGGGATATGCATACAAAAAACATTCTCTATGACTAACAGAAGCATATAAGCATTCTCCATTGGAGCAAAGGCTTTCTTTGGCTATAGCCTAGGCAAGCCGGCAAGTCACAAAAAGGCTTGGACTCCATTAGGGGTCCTTATGGCTCTCATCTATGGCTCTCATCTTGGCTCTAATCTAATATCTATATGTATGTAGTAATAAACAAAGAAGGCACTCCTTTGAGAAGTTACCAACTTCAATTTGCAGCTGATTAGAATATGTTTCTATCCAGTTTTAGCAGATGAGTAAGTAGGTAATTTTGATCATTCTTGTTCCTTCTTTTCATGTGCTTTGTGTTCTTTTTTCCTGTGTTTGTGTTATGAGTTATGACCTTATGAGCAATAAAATGATAGTTATTTTCCAGTTCCTAAACTTCATGATTGTATTTCATTGAACTTTATTAGACTATGCTGCTTAATAATCTCTCAGGTTAAAGTTAATAATCAAAGCCATCTCAGCAAGGGTCACGTTTCTTGTAGTGTCTCCCTTGAACTGCACTATTTCAATTTTGAAGTTAACCAACAAAAATTTAGTTGTTCAATGGGGACCAATAAACGTATCATCAAATCGTTCAAAGGGAACACATTTGATGTCCTATAAAGTATGTTCCTTCATGTATCATCAGTTGTGATTGATCATAAAAATACTTAATCATTAAACTTTTAACTTAAATATAAATCGAGACTCACTATATCATGTACTCCCTAAAGGGAAACTAAGGAATATACATGTGTTAAAACTAAACATGTGTATAAAGAAAGAATCAGAAATCAGTTAAGGTATGATTTTGAGGAATGTTGTTCAAGTTTTCCAACTGCCTTTTCCATATTGTAAGAGAGAAGCATATAATAATTCATTCCAAGTATCTGGTACTCCTGGCAAGCACCAATGACTGCAATCTTGGTGTAACTCCGCACCGACTCGTTCTTCTTCTGTCTTATAGTCCATTCTGTATATAGAAGGATGCCCATCTTTTCTGTAATCAGTAAGCCTACTTATGTTCATATATATCACTGGAGTTTTCATCTTTGACATCACCTTATCTAGAGCCCTCATTTTGGAGGAATATTTCCTTAGCTGAGTTCCATTAAATATTGGTTCTGTTTCTTTGTTGCACTGTCCTCCTGAATTCCATTGCCCACCCCTGAAACCATGTAATACAGTATAAGAATATAATCCTTCTAAGATGAATATGAATCAGTGCATTGACATTCATGATAGTGGTCAAGGTAAATGGAAAAATAATTGGTAAGTGGTTTATTTGATTGATAAGAGCCTACAAGAAAAGGAAGTGAAAGTAGGAAGTGCAGAGTGCAATCAAAATTCGAAAGTATTTAAAGGAACAATACCTGAAATGGGTAAGTGAGTATCCTCGAAAGAAAACCTGAGTTCGATTGGCATCAATGTTGTGGTCAATCCACTTAGCCCAAGTGGTCAAAGCCTTGGTATATGCATTCAAAACCTTGAGTCTTGAGTATACATGGTTGCCTTCTTGATAATAGTCTTTTCTGTAGCAATGCCACATGATAGCAATGTTTAAAACCTTACTTCCAAATGCTCATAAAGAGTGCAAACAGAAATGCAGCAAATATCATACTAAAATTCTGTTATTCATCTTCATGCAGAACCAGTGTTATAAATTGTTGCACCATGCTAATTTATCGATTTCAGTACAACTTTTTTAAGCATAGACAATTTGAAGGCAAATGATTACATAGAAAATAGACTGAACTCACCCCTTTGATGATGTCTTGTGTGTCCACCAGTGGCCTGTATTGAAGACAATGATATCGGCATCGTGATACATGGAAGTTATTTGGTCCATCAAATCCAATCTTAATGTCTCAAATGACCCATTTATGCCTTTGAAACTTGACTCTTGAACAATGAATGGTGAACTAACAAAATCTACTGAACAATTATAATCCTATAAATATGGCAAAGTTATTTTTCAATGAGATATCATTTCAAGGTTTAGAGTAGTATGCAAAATCTTATAGTGTACCAAAAAAAACTTGCCTCAAATCTAAAAGCATAGAAACCTTTCTTCTTAAATTCAGTTTTCCCAGAAATTTCAAAAACACGTTTTTTGTCCCTGATGCTTTGACGTAGGATACAAGCCAAGGATTCCCACATGTTCCTGTTGAGTGAATCCCCCACAAAAACCAGCTTCTGTCCTCGCAACCTCTCCAGAAAATCAGATGCATTCAAACTGAGATGATATCAATAGTTAATTAATATAAAAGCCTAGTAAACATTATTATTAATATTCATAACAGAATATAGACAACAAAAATGCATATCTCTCTATACGGAATGTGTATATAAAACTTTACGCTGATAGTGTATAGATATTATACTCTTAATCAAAAATGGTAATCATACCTTGGAATGTCACACCCATTTGGCTGCCATTTCCATTTCACATACTCACTATCAGGCCTCCCGTTAAGGTGACAATCAAAACCCCTACCAATGTAGGGACAAGAACCTAAGGGGTAGTATGGCTTTGATTCATCTCTTACCCAATTACCATAAAAAATATCACACTTCTTATTTAACCCAGCATGCATTTTCTCCTTTTTTGAATTATCCTCATGACCAATGACAGTTAAACTATTCTTCTCAACCAAATCTCCTTCATGCAACTCTCCTTCCATGTTTTTCTGTGTCACCACTTCATCTGAAATATTTTTATTTGCAGCCATCAAGGTTACATTTTTTACAACCCCATTAGTAGAATCCGAGAAATTTTGCGTTGGAAAACGTTGTTGTTCACCATGCAAGCTTGCATTACCGTGACTCTCACTAAAATTCCCCAAATGAGTACCCTTTTTTGACAAATTCACTTCACTTATTTTCCCCACTTCACTTCCTTTTTCTTCAACCCTATTCACAGAAGAAAAGAAAAATGGCCAAGAAGAAAGCGATGAATTAGAACGCGAAGTGGTGGATCCATGGAGAAAGAAATAAACATTAGAAACCTTGAGAGAACTAGTGAGGAAAAGAGGAATGAGAAAAAGAAGAGAAGCACCAACACCTAAACTGAACCCAGAAAGCACTTTTCTTCTAAGAGACATGAAGTGTTCCGAGAACATAAGTTTCTTAACTAAGTTCGAGTCCATGATTGAGATCATGAACATGCATAACAAATATAACTAGAAGAACACAATGCGTGTTTCATGAGATGAGAATAATCTGTTACTAATGGTGTTATATTTACTATTTTGAACAAATAATATATTACCACACGCATAAAACAAATTTTTTATATGTTTGTTTATTAGTGTATGACATATTAGTTAGGTAGTTAAAGTAGTAAATGCAAATAGAAAATTCACATTAATGAGTCATGAGTCATGAGTCATGACTCATGAGTGGACGAGTAGTTTACTAAATTATCAACATTTTTTTCCCTGAATTTTAGGTCCAACATCTATAATTAGAAATATGAAATTAACTCATTTTTTAACTAATTGTCCTATTGTAGTGCTTCTGAATTGATTAACCCGTGAGTTTTGTTTTTTTATATGTTTTTTAATCTGTTTTTTAATTCTTGAGAAAGTTATCCAATATATTTGAATATTTATTCACATCGCTAGCCCCAACTATACATAGTATATATAAATAATTAATGCGAGTCTTATATAATAAATATAAATAATGGATATTATTAAATGATAAAATTCAAAAAAGAAATATATAATTTTGTTAACTAATCATATAAATGTTAATTAACCATAAATGAATAAAAAAAACAATGTAGATCGTTCCCGTTCAATGTTTGAGAACAAAGTTTCATAGTCATTTACGACATGAATGTAGACATATTCATTACAATACAGTTTTAAGAACTCTGCAAAACATTTAATAAATTTTATAGCGTTCCATATTTGTTTCACATTACTTTCATACAAATTCCCAGTTCCCTCTGTAGATTTTGAAAGCACACATCAACACCACTTAACACCACCCTCTTCATCCGTGTCCCTTCGTTCATACATGCGTTCTTCACACTCAACCACTCGCACGTGCCACCATTCACAACTTCACAAACCACCACCTCCTCCCCCTGAACCGGGTTCGCTACGTACATAAATTCCCCAACCCAAGTTACTACCACCGAACCCAAACCAAACTCCGAACCTCCCATCACCTTCTCAACCATCTCTTCCGGCATCTCACCCAACTCTTCCATCACAATTCCCGAACCTAATTCTCCCTTCACAACCCAAATCTTCATTCCCTTCACATTCTCCCCTTCTCCCACAATTCCCGCCACCGCTAATCGTTTTCCTAGGGTTCCGGTGACGCAGAACATCACGCTCTGATCGGGTCGCAGATCGTAAGGTCCGTTCCAGAGATTATCAATGGGATTAAAAGTGTATGTCATGCCGGAATATTTCTCCGTCAGGTACATGGTGTCTCCGGCGACTGCGACGGAGAGCCACGTGGACGCCGTGGATCCCTTCAGCAGCTCCGGCATGTATTGACACCTAGCCCACGCGCCTTTCTCTATGTCGTATGTCTCCACCGCGAGTGGGTTATCTTCAAAGTCAAACGCACCACCGGCGATTACGATCAGATTTCCCACGCGCGCAACGATGGGGTCCGTGCGGCACACGTTTGGTGCGGGCGCATGGTGCCATTTGAGGTGGAGAGGGTCGATAGAGAAGGCGAATTCAGCGGGGGAGAGAGTGTACATCACAGTGGAGTGGGATGATCGGACGGCTGACGCATGCTTGATTGCCATCGACGGTTTTTGTTTAATCTCCACACACACATGTGAGCGAGGATCGTACGCGTGAATTGTCATCACGTGGGGGTCACGCGGGCACTGTGTGAGGATCATGAGCCATGGCTTAATGGGATTAATATGAGTGAGGGAGGAGAACACCGCACGCTTCCAGGATTTTGACACGTGACAAGCTGGCAAAAGGTGAACGAGTGGCACGTGCGAGAAAACAACCTCTAATATGTCACCATGAATTGGTGTTTCTTGAGAATGTTTTAGTGCTGCCATTTGGAATTGGTGTTTCTTGAGAATGTGTTTTTTGAAGAATAGAATGAGAGGGAAAGGGTGTTATATATAATGGTG